ACGTCTAATATAAAGTCCGTCCCCCTCCAGGACGGACGTTCAAGAGGTTGACAGGGTAGTTGAACCAATCAGTCCCTTGAACGTCCGTCCTGGAGGGGGACGGACGTCTTATATAGTAACGTCCGCCCCTCCAAACGACGTCAGAGGTGACAGGTGTTGAAACAATAGTCCTTGAACGTCCGTCCTGGAGGGGGACGGACGTCTATATATAGTAAACGTCCGTCCCCTCCAGGATGGACGTTCAGGAGACTGACAATATTTCAACCCATCAGTCTCTTGAACGTCCGTCTTGGAGGGTGACGGACGTTTAATATATATAGACGTCCGTCCCCCTCCAGGACGGACGTTCAAGGGGCTGACTGGTTCAACTACTCTATCAGCCTCTTGAACGTCCTCCTGGAGGGGGACGGACGTTTACTATATATAGACGTCCGTCCCCCTCCAAGACGGACGTTCAAGGGATGATTGGTTCAACACTACCCTGTCGCCTCCTTGAACGTCCGTCCTTGAGGGGGACGGACGTTAGTATATATAGACGTCCGTCCCCTCCAGGACGGTACGTTCAAGGGGCTGACTGGTTCAACTACTCTGTCAGCTCTTAAACGTCCGTCCAGGAGGGGGACATACGTTTACTATTACTATATATAGACGTCCGTCCCCCTCCAGGACGGACATTCAAGGGACTGAGAGAGTAGTTGAACCTGTCAGCCCCTTGAACGTCCGTCCTGGAGGGGAACGGACGTTTAATATATATAGACGTCCGTCCCCCTCCGGACGGACGTTCAAGGGCTGACTGGTTCAACTACTCTGTCAGCCTCTTAAACGTCCGTCCTGCGGGGGACGGACGTCTACTATATTATAGACGTCCGCCCCCGCCACAACGACGTTCAAAGAGTGTTGAATAAGGACTTACTAACCAAAACGCGAACCCGCGGGAGTTATGCGAACCAGTGAGAGTTCCCTCTGCGCCTTGCATTTCCAGGTTTGGTTTTTATCTGTTTGGACCGTTTAATCTTATTTTTATTCCGATTAAATTGTTCAATGATGAAATATCTTTCATTTGTGACGATTAAATATCGTTTTCTGTGCATTTTGTGCAGTTTGTAGCGTGTTCTGGGCGGCGTTTTTGGCCTACGATTTAGGTCGTTTACTCCTCCATCTCCCTCCATTTTCATTTCGAATCTGGTCTTCAGACGTGTTGCAGTGCACAAAAAAACGTCCAAAACCTGTAATCCTAAATAACCCTAAATAACCCATAAATAACCCTAAATAACCCGTCTAATAAAGTCCTTTCTGCAGTAGTGTGTAGACGTCCGAAGGTTCACAGCGGACGTCTATATAGACGTCCGCCTGACACAGCAGACGTCTATATAGACGTCCGACCTGACACAACGGACGTCTATACAGACGTCCGGCCTGACACAACGGACGTCTACATAGACGTCACCCGCAAAGACGTCGGTCGAAACGTCGGACGTCAAAAAGCCTAAAGAACGGACGTCTATGGCCCTTTCTGCACTAGTGAACAAGACAACACAAGGAAAATACAGGGTAAGCTTATATAATTTAATTCATGCATCAACATATATTTTAAACAATCCAACACACAATAGAAATTCAACATACACATCTTAAAAGCCTATCACTAGACTGACCGTCCGGACTGTAGGAACATCGTGTAGCTACGACGTTCGTGCAACCCGGTGATGTGATGTAGTAACTGGAATACTCCTCAGCTGCCACCCGAGGTAATCCTATCTATCCAAAGTACCCAAGGACTAGGACCTCCTGTCGTTCCACACATGACCTACCCTCCTCTACATGAGGACGAGTACTCACGGAACATCAGGATGAATTGACAGCTTAGCATTACCACCGATCATACTTTACAACTTGCAAATATTCACTCATGAGTCGTTCCTCTCCGGAATGCTCGTTCCATATTTCACATCATTACATCAGTCTCATATACTCTTCATCATTTATTACCCATCATTTTAATTCCATCTATATCACAATTTCTAATAACTTCAAATACCGAACGTTCAGTCCTCACTCAGAACGAGGATTGAACACTAAGAACGAGATCGAGAAGTCGCTCGTTCTAGATTAGGATAAGACCAAAAGGGTTACTAATAGTTTAGGAATAGACCGAGTACAATCATATAACATATGAGCGAAGTTATATATATAACGTGAATCAGTTGAATGAACTGACTCTCGTAAGTTCAAACCAATACTCAAAGGATAAATCAAGTTACGGGTGATAACAGTTGAAAAACTGTTTTTTCATGATTAAAATTGACACTAAAGAACCTTTACACTTAGAAAACTAGCTTGAAATCATGCTTTTCTGTATATTTTTGGAAATAAGAGCTGGACAGTTTTGCTTGATTTTAGTGTTTTTGTGCAGGTTTTAAGTTGAATTTGGTAAAAGAAGTGAGAAAGGGAGAGATGAAATCAGAAAAGACATAAAAAGTGCAAAAGGAGAAGCCAAGTCACCGCTCAGCGGCAGTTTTACCGCTGAGCGGACTCAGGAGTTTGCGGGAGTGTCCGCGGGGGGCAAAATGGCCGCTAGGGGAGAAAACAAGTCACGCACTCACCGCTGAGCGGTACTCTGGAGTCACGGGAGATCGCGAGGGCAAAATGGCCGCTGAGGGGATAAAACAAGTCACGCAATCACCGCTGAGCGGTAGTTTACCGCTGAGCGGCACTTTAATGGGCTTGGACTTGACTTTTTGTAATTTACGAATGATACATAAGCTTTAGGGTTCCTAGGTTAGGTATCTCTGGCTGGAACGAGGCAAACACTCTCTCTACCCACCCCTTTGAAGGAGGGATCTGGATGCTGAGGCTTCCGCTTCACCTTTTTAGGGTTTTTCTTCATTCTTTCATTGTAATTCATCTAGGTTCACCATGAATATGGTGAACTAACCTCTGTATGTTTGTTGGGGAATCAATGTAGTCTTGTTGAACTCTCATATATGGAATCTGTTTTTACATCTTTTAATTAAGACTTATGCTTTCTTTCATCATTAGTTAGGCTTTTTCTCTTTGTTTAATGCTTGCATGGTTTAACTCATTCGATGCATGATTATTGGTTTTTGTCGATACGGGAACGTACGGGGAAGTCTAGTCCGGGGAATTTCTCCCAATTTATATTGGTTGTCGTTAAGCTCCTGTACTTATGAACTAATCATTAGGAATGCTAGGAATTGTATGAACTCGTGATTAGGGAGAAGCCTTCTGGAAAGGTACATTAGAGAGTGGGGGCATTAACAATGGTGATTTGATCGTTTGAATTCCTAAAATATATGAGAGTGGATAAGATGAAATTGAACCCAACAACATATCCATACATAAATTTCATGAAAGTGTTTATCTTTTGCTTTTTGCCATTGATCACAATTCATGCATACATGTTTATTTTTCTGTCTTGCATTTAAACCCCAATTAATTCGTTTGTAAGTCTTAGTTAATTAAGAAATCACATAAACTAAACTAGGCCGTGAGTCCTTTGGGAAGAACGATATTGGTCTTACAAAGTTTTATTACTTGAACGATTCGGTCATACTTGCCGATTGAAAACAAGTTTGTGACATCATAATTTGGTGTTCATAAATTTGTCCATCAACGGGCTCTAGACCGGAACCAATGAATGTAGACACGTCAAGACGTTAAAGAACCATATTTAGAATAATTCAGATACAGAAACCATGCCGGTCAATGACCGTAACACGGTAAAGGAGATTCTACTAAATTGGACGAACGCTATTTCATCAAGATTGTTTTACTATGAACGGGTACGAGCGCTCGTATAAGATCGAGCACCACTCATTACAAGAGCTTGGTTTGAGACCGAGCACTGCTAAACTAAAATAAAAGATTAATAAATAAGATATTATCGGAATGTGTCTAAGAATAACTACCTATACAAAATATATATATATATATCATATATATATATACACCAGATCTATGTTTGTCACTGAAAAGCTCAGACGCAAACTACGCTTGGTCGAACGCTCAAGCACAACATTACTACAAGAAAGCGCTCGTCCTCAAATAGAATTCTTTCCAAATGAAAGAATTCAATGTCAAACTAGTTCACTAGAAACATCGAACGGTCAAAGACCGTTCAATGACGAACGTACATTATCATATGAAAATTTCATATTCAGGACTCATTTATCTTCAACTCATTTCTCATTACATAATTTCATAACTTTATAAAATTCATATCATAATCATTTGCATACTTCTTACACTTCATATCATACTAATAAATCATATTCCATATAAACAATCATATCAACATTCATACAATCCAAACATATCAACCATCATGCATAATATTCATTTAGTCAAATAACGGACGTTCATACATTGCAGCAACATATAAATTAAATTTAAATAAGCTTCCCTTACCTCTAGTGTGAACGATCATCCTAAAGGCAGAAGTATGGTTTGTCTGACTAAAATCTCTTCTACCCTTACGTTCCACAATTCTTTAACTAACCAACAGCCAGAAACCAAAAATGGATCAGACAAGGTATCATTATGCAACAGAGACTTGGTTGCATGTACTATAGAAACGAACGACTAAGGACAACAGACTTACCAGTTTTAGAACTTGGAGCTGTTCGGTTTCAGATTGTAGCTTGGGACGCAGGGAATGCTCCTACGGTGCCTGAACGGTGATCAGAGCAGAAGAAAAGGTGAGTTTTCAGTAGAGAGAAGGGAGAGTTTCTAGAGAGAAGAAGGAGAAATGGAAGATCAGAGTTTGAAAGAGAAGTGCATGCAAGAAGAGAGTGACGCGGATTTCAGAAAAATCAATTTTGTTTCAAACGAACGTCCGCTCTCTTGCTGACACCTGCATTCCACTATCTGATTTTCGGATCCTCGTTTCTTGACACCTGGCGTCCGTTCAGAGGGGTTTTGGGGGCATTTTTCCGAGGTCTGACATTCCCTCCAACTACAAAAATTTTTGTCCTCGAAAATTAAAACTTACCCGAAAATAGGTGAGGATACAAGTCCCTCGTGGCATCCTCCACTTCCCATGTAGAGTCGCCCATCTTCTCATCCCACACCACTTTCACCAATCTGATAGCTTTCCTTTTGTAGTACTTGGTGCGACTGTCTTCAACTCGAACTGGTTGCATCTCCAGCGTTCGGTCTTGACGAAGACGAACGTCTTCTAATTCCAGTATGTGAGAGGGGTCGGCTATGTACTTCCAGATTTGGGAAACATGGAAGACTGGATGAAGATTTGATAGCTGGGGAGGCAATGATAGCTCATACACCATTGGTCCGATCTTCCTTAGGATTTGATAAGGTCCGACGAACTTGGGAGATAGCTTCTTCGGACGAACAACTCTGCCTACTCCAGTGGTTGGATTCAGTCTGAGAAAGACTTGATCTCCTGCAGCGAACTCCAAGGGCCTTCTCCTCTTGTCAGCGTAGGAATTCTGTCTGCTCCTCGACATCTTCAACCTTTCTTGGATTAAATT